TTTTATTTTATTTTGCTTAAAAGTATGGTTTCCTCTAATGATTTGGGTGGCTGGTGGAGTGGACAAAGATTAATCAAGGTCAAGGCCACCACTGACCACCCCCATTGCACCAGGTGGTGGATACAATTTCATCCTCTGCTTGCCAGGATCTATCACTTTGTGCTGCCCCAGACAAGGAAAAAAAAAACTACTTTTGTCAAAACTACATTGTTACACAGTGTAATGCCTACCCACTTGAATATCATAAGGTTTTCTTGTCTTCACTGTTCAATTCCAGTCCAGAAAAACACTTCTCTCAAGAACTACAAACATCAACGCTTCAAATCCTTCAATGACCGGGGACGCCGATCGTTTGTTTTAATGTTCATTTTATCGTGGGATGTCTGTTGGAATTAACATGTTTGGTTTTTTTCTGCTTTGGCCTTTTTTTTTTTCTTCCTACCACTAAGTTATAAAAAGTATAAAAAAAAATACACTGTTAATTTAGGTCTTTGTCACAGAGAATGCCTCTGAACTCTGTAAACCTGTTTTGCAATTTGAGCAGTAATCCTCAGACAACCTAATTAAAGCGAGGAGGGTAGATGAGTGCAGTTGCCATGACAATGACCACTCTATCTTGGGTCAGGTGAGAGCGGGCAGGATAAGGTTCCTGGAGTAGATTGGGAGGATTTCACTGCTGCACTTCTTCTAAAACATAGGTCATTTTTTTGTGAACGTAAAATTGTACCAACTGATCAACCAGAATCAAAGACATACCCTTTTGACTAAAAGTTCATTAAAATTATGTTCTATGTCTCTAAACAACAATCCCTAATCGTCTGTGTTTACTGTGTAAATGCTGAAAATTGTTAGACAATTGTTGCATTTGGTTATAGGCAAACTAGTCCAGTTGTACCGTGATGCCAGTCAGAGCAATGGAGAGTAGATCCACATTCTCAAGCTATGCATCAATATTTCATTAATCATCTGAAAGAGGTTAGGAAGGATGGCTCTGGCAGAGATGATGGAACTGACATGTCACAAATTGACTAACTTCTTCAGCACCATCATTTCAAGCCAATCAACTAACTTCTTCATGCACTCAATGCCTGTTCATTTCCAGGAACTCAATGTGTAAAAAGGAGGGTTTTTGCATTTTTTAATGCAAATCCCTCTGTCTCTTCATGTTGCACTGCCTCAGCTCTAATAACTGGTTTCTATTTATTCTCCTGGCACAGGAAATAAGGCTTTCACTTTGCCTTTTGTTGCCTCCTGTACCTTTTCCTTTTGTCTCTTTGTTGTGTGAAGGCATACAGAGGGGAGAATTTCTCCACGACTGGAATAGGCGTCCCATCATCCCGCAGCCTCACTCCACTTAGTATTTGTTTTCTTTGCAGTGTTTACAGTCACAGTTTTTCATCCGTCTGTATCTTTGCCAGCTCAACAAACACAGCTCCCTCATGTTTACATATTGCCTGATCCAGCACAACAAAGGGGGTTGTATGGCTCACAGGCCTCGTGTTCTCGGTCCTTCTGATTTTTCATTTCCCCTTTCTATTGTTTTTTTTTTTTCTGTCATGACTTATCTCTGACTGCTTGAACAAAAATGCAGGACTCAAGAGAAAAGAAGTGACACATTGAATTGTTACTTTTTTCTTGTAAGGTAATGACAGTAACTGTAAGGCCTTGTTCTGGCTCCCAGCTTCCAGGTACTGGTCCTCGGTTTACATTTGATCAATGGGTGAGACAGCAGGTGCATTCAGTGTAGCTACCTCAGGTTTTTATGTGCAAATTTCTAATTTCTACAGTCCCCAGAATTCCCAGAATTCTGGGGACTGTACCAATCAGAAATGTTTAGTGTTCCCCTACCTTCCTGGAAATTCCAGATCATTTTCAAAGTATTACATTAATATTTCTAGATTTCTACCCTGCTGCTTTGGTCCGGGTTCTTGCCATGGATAAAGCAGGTAAAACAAACAAACAAAAAAACTAAATTTTTCTGAAAAAGTTTCCTGCATTAGAAACAATGTTTTTAGGTCTTTCTCTGCTTCAACACACCTGCTTGGAATCAATAGGTGATTAACAGGCTTCTGCAGAACTTGAAAGCCTGCTAAAGAGGAAATTTGACCATTTAATCAGGTGTGTTGGAGTATCAAAACAACTAAACCAAGCCAAAAATAAACCTCAGATACCATTTTTAGACACCTGAGATCACAGTCTGGCCCACTGGGTAGGGAGGTTGATCCCCTGCTCCCGCAGAAGGCCAGAGTGCCCATGTACAAGACACTGAACCCTTCCACTGCCCACTAATATGCTTATCAATCTCTCGTGGCCCATGCCAGGATGCGAACGTGAGTTCGTAAACTTTTCAACTTTTAACAAAAGTCACAGATACGCTTTGCTTTGGTTATTGTTTGATTAAAGTCTAAAATCACTGCCAGTTACCAGAACTTCATCAAACATTGTATTATATCTCACCTCTCATATTGCATTGTCACAGCAAGGCCTAAATAACTTTTTTTGTAATCTAGATCTTCTCAACAATGCCAATTAGTGTTTCACCATTAATGATATGGTACTGACCCCAACCACTACATTAGAGAAGATCGTGCCAGGTTACCTTGACGCTATCACTAAGGGTATCATGGCTTCACAACATTGTTTTCATAACAAAGACCTTGCTACCTGCAAAGACCACCCAGTTTTTCTTCCTCTTTTGGCTGCTCCCTTCTTCAGGGGTCACCACAACAAACTAACTCACATGAAGACTTGACAATTGTTTTTATGCCAGATGCTCTTTCTGATGCAACCACAGAGCTACCACAGCCCTCCGTGTGGAGCATAGAGCTGCCATCCAGGGTGACCAGGGGAGCAGATGGTGGGGGTTAAGGGTATTGCTCAAGGGCCCAGAGTGGGGCAAATGAGGGTGGAGTCAGGTGTGGGTGTTTAACTTTTACCACTCACATTTTGCTCTTAGTCCGGGGAGTTGAACTGGCAACCTTCCGATCACAGGCCCACCTTCTTCTCTCACCTCTGCGCCACAACTCCTCTTCGCAAAGACCATCAATGTTCTGGGTAATTTTACTATGTTGTATCAAGTTCATCATCTAATGTAATGGTGATCTAACCGAGCACCAGGTTGATCAGGTTATTTTGTGATGGTTGAAGTTTTCAGAAGCACAGGACACCGTGTCCTTGTCTGTAATCGATCCACCTGAACTGAACTAATCACCACACAGGAGGCACCATAAAAACCTGTCATTTACTTCATCACTTATCACACAGAAACCGTACTCCTGACCCACTCTCCATCTGCTTTTTGTCAACCCAGCAACTTTATTTTTACTCTCATCCCCAAGTCTCACCTTACTCTGTATTAGGGTAGAAAAGAAAGGCTCAGGAAGTCACTTTGGAACAACACAGTGATGTAAAACTGTAAAATCAGACTAAGTTTGATTTATGCGTGCCATTAGTGAGGAATAGTGTTCCTTCATAAGTAGTCTGTCTGTCTGGAGGCTGTCTATGAAACCCAAACCCATGGTCATACAGATAGGATTTTATGATCTCAACTGAATGATGGCTTTATGGAAACTTTAATTATTATGAGCAGTGTGGGGGAGTGCCTGTGTGTTTACATGTGTGACTTGGCTTCATGGTCCCTTCTCCTTGTCATAAACCACTTCTTACATTTGCTTAGATGGCTTTAAGTCTAATGTAGTGGGTTGGCACTAAGAACTTAGAGTAAAAATTATATATACTGTATATGCTTGTGGTTGTCTGAGGTTATAAAACGTTACATTTAGGGTTCTTTTTTTCTTCTTGTCATTCCAGTGCGGGAGGAGAACGTGGCCACCTTCCGTGGTTCGGAGTACTTCTGCTACGACCTGTCACAGAACCCCATTCAGAGCAGCAGCGACGAGATCACGCTGTCCTTCAAGACCTGGCAACGCAACGGCCTCCTCCTGCACACGGGGAAATCCGCAGACTATGTCAACCTGGCGCTGAAAGACGGGGCCGTTTCCCTCGTCATCAATCTGGGCTCTGGGGCCTTTGAGGCCATCGTGGAGCCAGTCAATGGAAAATTCAATGACAATGCCTGGCACGACATCAAAGTGACACGCAACCTGAGACAGGTAATCGGGGGTAACAGTGATGGATGGAGTTTGGAGACTTTTTCTTTTCTGTCCTAAAGATTAGTTGCCTCGAAGAGCTTTTTGAGAGAAGAAAGTCACCTTTTTTATTGGTTGTCATTCCATCACTACAGTTTGGAAACACTAAAAGTATTTTTAGTTGTTTTCACAGTGACATCAATTTGTCATATATTTATTTTCATTGGTTTTTATTCCTCATACGCTCAAAAAGCTGTTAAAACAGGGCAAATGAGTTTTGCAGCAGGTGAATGGTATTAATGCTTCTATTTCTGTATTGCCAGGTATTATTTTCTCTCCTGATTATTGGCTTATTGAACAGAAGTGTACTGTGTGTTTAGTTCAAAGTTGTCTGACTGTTATTTTGCTTCACACTCTTCTAGGCTGACCCTGCTACTGAGTGCAGTTACTGCCTCCACAGCTTGTACTTTAAAGTCGGTCGGAGATTGTTTGCCTTTGAGCCATCCATTAACACTTTGGTTCCATATTTTCTTCTTCTTCTTTAAAATTAGCCTTTATTTTACAGTTCAGTGGAGCGAGTATGATTTTGTAGCATCTATACAAAGCAGCAGAAGGGTAGTAAATAACTCTAAAAGACCAAGCGGTGCATGAAGGTAATGGTAGCTACAGAATGTGGAGTTGTGCTTTGTCTCGGTTGACCTTTAGTTTGTCAGGTGCGGCAGCGTTTAGTGCTGCTGTCAGAGCAGAACAACAAGCAAGTGCCATTTTTCTGACGCTCTTTGACAGTAAGCCTTTGTCCCACAGGTTAGTAAATAGTCCTAGCAGAAATGCTCTGCAGTAAAACACACAGGAGGTTGGTTTTAGGCTAAAAGCTGAGAACTTCCTGTCAGCTTTGTTCTTTCTCTTTACAGTTCTCTCTCTCTATTTTTTTCTCCGTCACTTGTTTTTGGCTCTGAAAGGAACACGTTGTTAATACCAGTGGTGGGAAAACGCTGCAGTTTTTGTTGGAATTTAAGCCATCTTATGCAAATATTGATCTCACGGACTTCTGATTCGTTTTATGTTCATGAAGGACTCTAAAATAATTTGCCTTGGATGGCGTTTAATTACAACTGCTAATCTCTGACAAATCATGTAGTGTTTATTCACCGCTACACTAACTCATCCATGATAAAACCATTTTTTATTTACTACTAACCAATATCTAACCAACTAATGTACTAACATCCTAATTCTTCATCGTTGCTTTTGGTTTTTGTTTTCTGTCCATCCTTATTAACAACCTTTTTTGTTCACTATTCTGTTGATTTCCTTTCTTCCCCTTTTTCTGGAAAGCAATCAGGCATTGGACACGCTATGGTAAACAAACTACATTGTCTGGTAGATATCATTCTTATTGTCTTTTTTTTGGGTTTGCCGTGTGTCCCCTCCCCTCTCTTCTTTTATTCGTTCTCTTTGAGTTCCATCCTAGACACTCTTATCAAAAAATGAGGAGATGGGTTTGTATTACCAGGCAATTCTTTCTTCGCTTCTTCTCAATTTTCTTCCCTGACCTGCCAACAACCCCCTTCTTTACCCCACCAATCCCCCATCCTGTTCTTTTCACTTTGGCTTTTACTTTTTTCTTTAACTCTTTGTTTCCTCCACATTACCGCAGATTTCCAACAAGTTTGATAATAATTTTTTTTAAAATAGACTTTTTGCCTTTGTCAGGGCAACTTACTTTTTAAATTTTTTTTTTAAAACTTTTTTCCACACAAAAAGTCCCCATTTTTTGTGAGGACTGTCGTCAAGAACTGACAGAAGCTTACCACAATCTCCAAGCTGGTGACCTCGACACCGAGCCCTAAAAGAGATGCCATCAAAAAAAGAAAAAAAAATGGCAATAAAACAAGGCAACCCTTAACTATAATAATTGCGGGAGCTCTGACAGTTATTTCCAACTCACTATGGCGCATGGCATGCCCACACCTCATTGACCTGTCATCAACCAAACTCATACAACCTCGGCTCTGCCACCAAGAATAACCACTAACACTCTAATTCATTCACTCGCCTTCCACCTGTCACTCACTCTGCCTTCCCTGTGTGTGTTTTTGTAGCATGCTGGTGAGAGTTGTGTTTCTGTGTTTTGATAACCCCTGGGCTCATACGCGTAACACTTCAAAGAACAAAGCAGACTGATCTGGGATTAGTGGTCTGGTCCAGTGACATTGACGATACAGCCATGACACTAGACCTAAACCTGATCAGAGATCAGCATCTGCCGTTCTGTGAAATCGTTCTAGTATAAGCTCTGGTCTTGCATGAGCTTCATGTGTGCATGTTTCAGATCTGTATGCCACCATGAACCCACCCTCACATGTTAAGTTAAGTGTGTTTAAGTTGCCTTTTAAGAGTAACACCCTTCGTTTGCACATTGGTGTGGTGTAAAAGAAAAGCCTCCCTTTGTTTTGCATGCGTGTGGATATACAGATGTAGATCTTCAGAAGAGAGAGTGTGAGACTGTCGATGTGGGAACAAGTGATGATGTACAAATGTGCGTATGTGTGTGAGTTTCCAACATGTAGCGTGTGTGTCTGCAGTTAACGAACAAATCCCGAAACCTAAGACAAGTGGAATCAATTTGTCCTTGGTTTGAATATTGTACTAACCCTCCCCCAACCTGAAGTTTCTGAATCAAACCTAGGATCCATTCTCTTACCCCCATCAAAGATAAAGAAAATATACCTCTGCCATATTTTCTTTACCTGTCCTGTGAACCCTTTGGGTAAAAAAATCATTAACAGAATCTAAACACTGACCTCAAGACACCAAAAGACAAAAAAAAATCAAATAAAACTCAGTGTAGAATCTAAAAGCAGTTCTCAAAACTTATCTTGAATGCAGACCAAGAAGAGAAGTTTGGGTTTTTGTACACAGCACAGAAACAAATCCCAGAGTGTAATGTCTTGGCTTTGGCTATGTGTTGCACCCCAACAGGTGACAATCTCTGTCGATGGGATCCTCACCACCACCGGCTACACTCAGGAGGACTACACCATGTTGGGCTCCGATGATTTCTTCTATGTGGGTGGGAGCCCCAGCACTGCGGACCTGCCAGGATCTCCAGTTAGCAACAATTTCATGGGCTGCCTCAGAGAGGTAGGAGATACGTTACTGAGATATGTACGGGTGCATTATTAGTATAGGAGGCACAGTGCAGTAACTTATTCAGTGCAGATATAATATATTCCCTGAGAGACTTTGCTTGAGTGGCACAGCTGTCTGAAATGTACAAAAACAATCATCAGCCCACTTTCCCTAAAAGGCAACGGAGGAAGAGAGAAATTGTATTAACAATTAAAGCTGCTGAGTTGGCAGAGCAGCAATTAGACTTTCAATATTCCATTTTCTTAATTTAATTCCTAACCCTCACTGCAGTTTGTGTGAGGAAATATCCCCAAATTGCTTCTGTCATGTAATTTGCAGCATCAGTTTGAGCGTGTGGCTAAAAACACCTCCCGACAGGCGGCGATTTGATAGAAATATTTGCCCACGATGAAACAGGGTGGGGGGAATCAGCGTTGTTTTGGGAAATGTATAATGTACAGCCAGTGAGTAGAAATATGAATACCCTGTTATTTATGTTTTTCTGGTTTTTCTTTAAACTGGGAGTTGTGACTTATCAGAGCAGTTAGATAAAACTTCCATCAGCATCTTTTTCTTGAGACATAATGCAAGTTATTAATACACAATAGTAAGAACAAAGAAACTTACATCAGTGATAGAGATAAACATTACGGAATAAAAAAGGAAGCTCATATGCAAAGGAAACTTAAGCACCTTCACTAATTTATCAAATTTTCACCATTTCTGTACTATCAACATCAATATTTAATGTTTCTGTCATGTTCACACCATTCTAATGATCAGAACATTAAAAATGATTACAGGCAAGTCCCTGTAACTTTAGCACATTTTAGCAAGAAGGACAACTCAAAGTGCTTAATACATCTAATCAGTTCCAGCAAGTAGACTGTGCCCACTGTTTTAAACGTTAAAGCTAGAATATAGAATATGTTCCAGTGGTTGACCAACTCAAACAATTGTGGCATAAATTTAATTAAATAGTATGTTTAAAGTAAAGTATTTATAATAATTAAAGCCAACTCGCAAGTTTATTGTTAGTAAATACTGAAGGAAGGATTAACTTTTGTGACTGTGTAAACTCGTGTTGCTAGCTTAGAGGCAGCTTTAGTTGCTGGATTTGACTTAGAGGGTGTCTGTGGTTCATGAGGACAGTGTGTCTGCTAGTTGGCGTGTTAGTTTGATTCCAGTGTTCTTTGACAAAATATTAAACCATGTTGTGTCCGATGTTCAAATCTCTGAATACAGCCAATATAGTTTGTGCCTTACATTTCATTGTTGTAGTTTTTACTTAATTTTAGATATAGACATTTTAATTTGACTCTGCCTGCTTTTGAAAGTTTTCATGTTGTGTTTTAGCTCTTGATATTGAACACTGACTTTCATACATTTACGTACATTACATACATACATTTATAAAGTTTGGAGAATAATTAAACACTTAAAATCATACAGAGCATTTATTTTTTTGGCATCAATAATGGACATGTCGACACATGAGGTCAGGCAGGAGTCCCAGTGGACAACATTGTGCACTGAGAGTTAGGGAGCAGGTGGAAGAGAGCCTGGAGAGATTGACATATGCCCTGAAGAGAAAGTCAATCCAGAAAACATTAAAGTGAGCGAGACAGGTATAACGGCAAACCTGCAAGGAGTAGCGTTATTGCCTTTATTAATTTATTGTTTATTTATTTATTTACACATTCATTTATGTATTCCTAAGGCCGATCAGGTTGGTTTTGATGAAAAGGTAAAGCATCTCCTTTTAGATACTAAAATAAACCAAGAAAATCCAGCAGCCCATGATGTAACTGTTACAGTGCAATCCTGTCGAGCTATTTTATGTCATTTTTTATATAATTTTGTTTACTGGTAACTTTTTAAAATATATTTAAAACATTTATATTTTAACTCACCCTGCTAAAACACAAGTGCAGAGACAGACAGTGTCTAATGCAAACCTTTACACTCATTTAAACACAAATATTTTACTTATAGTCAAAGAGACTAAAACTGGTCATCGTCTTATCCTCCGTCCTCCTACTGTTTGATTGTCAGAAATCAATTTTGAAATATAGACAGGCAAATCTAATAAATGTATGATCTTAGATCTATGGAGAAAAATCATCTTTTATTTGATTCTGTGAGAAATCTGTATTTTTCTCTTGTTTCTTTCTGCAGCTTGAAAGGATTAGTTGGTCCTCAGTTCTTGACAGATACTGTGACGAGCCCTGAACAAAGCATGAAACATAAATGAACTGTTAAGCCAGCTCTGCTGAGCCAGTCTGACAGCTGCAAGTGTTTTCAGGTCCTCTAAGTGCAGCTAAAACATGCTTAGCATCAAAGCTCTGTGAGGTGTTATCCAGGTAAACACCACAGTGTGGACTCAACATAATGGATTTAGTTGTCTAGGTTTAAAATGGATTTTTATTTAAAAAAAACAAAACAATGAAATATGTTTGGGGAAGTTTTCTCGTTAATTTTCTGTTTACTCATGGTCAGTGAATTCTCACAAACAAGTGTAATTAATTGTTACCAGAGCCTTCATATACAAATACTTTAGTAACGCAAATACCTAGTTCTCGTGTGACGTAACTCATCTGGACACTTTGTTGCTAATCACCATGTTTGTAGTCACGCAGTAGCTGCAGGCACGGCTGAGCAAGTTCGTGTTGTTTTTCTTTAAATAAATCTCACTGGCTGTTTTGTGTTGAGTTAGATGATGTTCCAACTGGGCAGACAGTTTGGCAAACCACAGTTTTCAATTAGTCCCAACAATCAGGAAATGCAATGGACCTCAAACAGAGGAGCTGAGCGCAGAACGTCATTGAGTCTGGCTTAAACATAAACGTCAAGGATCTGCCTTCAGAAACGTCACAAATCTGCTCTGATCACTTTTATTCCAGTAAACAAAATATCATATATTGGTCATTTTGCTTAACAATGTCAGAATGTAACTATGTGTGCTGGAACTGCCCTGCTCATAATTTAGCAGGTCTCTACTTAAGTTAGCTTAGCTATGCTATGCTAGTTGCTAAACCTCCACACAATAACACTCACAACAACAATGTCCTGGATCTAGTCCTGAGTTCAGCCAGGGCACTTGTTGTTAGGAGGTTGCATGGTAATATTTTTTAAACCTTTATTTAACCATATAGATCTGGCTGAGACTTAAAAATCCATTTTTTCAAGAGAGACCATGTCAAGAATGGCTGCAGCACACAAACATTACTGCTCATAAAACCAGAGTTATTAAAGCACACTTAGAACAGATCATAGAAAATAGCTGAACTTAAAGAAGAAAAACAACAGAGAAAAAACACACATAAAGCGAAAATTTTACTAAAATGTGATTAAATATCAAAGCATTTACAAACATAGGTGTCAATATATATATATATATATATATAT